CGCGCGGTTGGCATGCTCACCAATTTTCCGCGTCCTCTTCAGCATCCCCCCCCCTTCCTCGAGGCCTCCGGGTCGTTTCTCCCCTCCGGCGTCCTCGAACTTTGCCAGAGGCATCCCCTTTGCGGGGCGATTCAGAAAGTCGCCGCTCACTGGCGACCAGATCCAGTCTAGCTCGGATTGTAGCGGGCACAGGCTTGTCGTCAATTTCTTATTCAGTGTTCTGCCGATAGGCGCGGGCCCTCGCACCCCTCCTCCCCACCCATATGGAGAAGATCTTGGCTATTTTTGGTGCCTGATTCAAGCAGGTGGAGTCTCCCCAATAGGACGACGCACTGCTGCAAACAGTCGCATTCAGCAGAGGTCTGGAGCCAGACACCCCCCCTCGCCCCCTTTCCGCCCAATGCCGAAACGCCGAGTACGACACCGGCCACCTTCTCTTTGAAGCTGCTGGCACCATAGCATGCCACAGGCCGGAGATCGCAAGTGGCTCCATACGCCCATCGGCTCCCCCTCCTCGACTCGTTCGGCTGCCGCCCCGAGGGAGGGCACGTGCCCAGGATGGGGCACGGCACAGCTCGGTGACGCACTGCCTGCTGAGTCTCAGCGTGCGAAGGACGGTATAAAATAAACTTTTTCGCTGTCGGGGGCGCCTGTCCCTGGGCGGCTGGAAAGTTTACACCCCTACGGTGCCACCGTAAGGGTATAAACTTTCCAGCCGCCCTGGGACAGGCGCCCCCGACAGCGGAAAAGTTTATCTTATACCGCTCTTCGCCCGCTAAGAGTCTGCAGGCTCTTCGGCCGTGGCTTCGGCGCCTCGGCCGTGGCTTCGGCTGCAGCTTTTTGTTGCCCTCCAGAGCGCCTTCGGGGCAGCTCCACCGAGTCCGCTCTCCTCGCAGGCCCACGGAGGCCCGCGCGCCCGCGCGGCCGCGACTGGGGCGCTTCCCGGGCAGCTCCTGGCGCACGTCGTTTTTTTTTGTTCCCCGTCGGTCGCGTTGCAAATCTTCCTCCTCCTCCTCCTCCTCCTCCTCCTCCTCCTCCTCCTCCCCCTCCTCCCCCTCCCCCCCTCCTCCTCCTCCTCCTCCTCCCCCTCCTCCTCCTCCTCCTCCTCCTCCTCCTCCTCCCCTCCTCCTCCTCCTCCTCCCCCCCCTCCTCCTCCTCCTCGCATCGCATCGCAACATGAGGCCCAGTCGAGCAGGACACACAAGGGCGCACCTACGAGTGGACGCAGCTCAAAATCGACCTCCTCCTCCTCCTTCCTCCCGCTGACACGGGCGCTTCCTTTCCTTCGTCACCCGCCCCTCGTGGCGCTGTGGCGCACGGCGCGCGGCCGACCTCACTTTCTGGATACGTACCAAAACGGTATGCCGAAGTCTGTGGGCCAGTGCTGTGGGCAGCGGCCGATCCGTGCTCCTCTCACGTCGAGGAGGGCCTTCCGAGAGGCCGTCGAGGAGGAGGAGGAGGAGGAGGAGGACGAGGACGAGGAGGAGGAGGAGGAGGAGGAGGAGGAGGAGGAGGCCGCGCGCCACGGGCCGCGCCGTCTCTGGAAGGCCGGCCGGGCTCCGGTCGTCGTCGTCGTCGTCTTCGTCGTCGTCGTCGTCGTCGTCGTCGGCGTCGGCGTCGGCGTCGGCGTCGGCGTCGGCGTCGTCGCGTCGGCAATCCTCATGTCTCAGATGACAACCAGGGCCACCGCCACCAAGAACCCATCGGGGGGTCCCACCCCCCGATGGGTTCGCATAGGATGCGACTCCTGGGGGTTTAGATTCCCAGTCGGCGCTGCTATGTCCGTTGTCGAAACCTGGCGAAATCTTGCAAGTTCCGTTTAGTCCTTTTTGATGCTTTGAGTTCCGGGGTTCATCCAGTTTGATCCGATTCATTGGCCCTTCGCTCGGGCGTCATATTTTGTATTATTTGTTATGTTGTTCTTATGAAGATATCCCAGGAGTTGCTCCCAAGGTTTTCCGTGGTGGTGGTCTCCTCCAGTCGCGTAACACTTACTCGGTTGCAGTTCCTGGGAGCCTCGTATGGTTCCGAAATGTTGTTTTTAGTTTGCGCCAGCATGCGCTGGCGTAATGGATGAGGAAGTGCCGACTCGCGACGATGATTAGCGTCGACCTAGTGTCGATTAGCGTCGGCCAGAGTCGGTTTGCACGAGCCAGCAAGATGACATGGGAGGCTCCAAGGCGTTGCCACCGAAACTTCGGATCTACCGCCCCGCCCGCGCTCGCCGCGCCCTTCTCCCTGGGGGCTCTGCGTTTCTTGTTCGCCGAGGTGCGCTTGTGGGCCAAGCCGGATCAATCAAACCACATGCGTGCGGACCAGTCGAGGAGCATCCAGGTCAATACGTGTAGATCAGACCTCCGGGGGGAACTCGGAGCACGTCGTGGCAGCTCCAGCACGAGTCGAGGGACGGCCGAAGCCGTGGAGCCCCTGACGGCCCTGCTCCCCTCGGAGCCTTCTCCGGGGGGGGGGGTGCTACGGGCGCGCGTTGGCCGAAGGTGCCCCGCGGCTTCGCGCTCCACGCTGATACTCCAAGGCGCCCCGTGGGCCTCGTGGGGGGGCTCTCTGGAGGCCGAGGGGGGCCTCCGTGGGAGTCCTCGAGGCACCTCGGGCCAGGGGGGAAGGCGGAGGAGGCAGGAGGAGGAGGAGGAGGAGGGGGAGGAGGAGGAGGGGAGGGGGAGGGAGGAGGAGGAGGGAGGAGGAGGAAGGAGGAGGAGAGGAGGAGGGGGAGGAGGAGGAGGGAGGAGGAGAGGAGGGGGAGAGGACGGAGGAGGAGGAGGAGGAGCGAGGAGGAGGAGGAGGAGAGGAGGGAGGAGGAGGAGAGGAGGAGGCGGAGGGGGAGGGAGGAGGAGGGAGGAGGAGGGGGAGGAGGAGGGAGGAGGAGGGAGGGGAGGGGAGGAGGAGGAGGAGGAGGAGGAGGAGGAGGAGGAGGAGGAGGAGGAGGAGGAGGTCCGTAGCCATGTTGGCTCAAGCCATTTTGGCTCAAGGCTCTAACCTGCCCCCTGGAGTTAGATCCTTGGTCGAAGCCGACGGGGAGGCCCGAACCTTCCCGAGGTCAGTCCTCGCGTGCAACAGACGTGCGCCAAAGCACGCTCCATTCCGGCTTCCGCGTTCCATTGCTGTGGGTGCTCATACCTTGTATTAGCGAAGCAATGCATGCTGATGGCGGCGTCCCTGTTTCCGAAGCAGAACGCCAGGCGTTGGCCGCCATGCTGGAGGCAGCTCCTACTTTCCCGTCGCAACCTCGTGCTGGCACTGGTGGTCCAGCTTCTCCTCAGGCTGAACGCGGCGCCCGTGGCAGGTGGCGCGATCCCCAGCGCCCTGAGGATGGCCGAAGCAGGTCCCGCAGCTCAGAGTTCCAAGACCCCGACATGGACCTCAAAGCCTACGTCGACACGACCCGTGACGAGTTGCTGGCATCCATCAACTCCATCCAGACATCCATTGGCTCCTTGGCGAACACGGTCAAGGACACATGTGGCAAATTATCCAAGCAAGTTGAAGTTCGGCTCTTTGGTGTGGAAAGAGAGCAGACGGTCACCAACACCAAGGTCGATCTGCTGGCCGCAAAAGTCAAGCACCTGGAAGAATTCCTCGGCCTCATGCAGACAGAACGCCCTGAAGTTGTGGAAGAAATGGCATCGCCTTCGTTCGACCGTACTCCCGACCCCACCATCCTGGTCATTCGGTCGAAGAACTACGCGACCAAGTCTGCCGTGCAGCAGTCTGTCGTGGCCCCAATCCTGGCGAAGAACAACATGTCGGAGACGGACGCTGTGCTGGAGGACGAGCCCGCTGGCAAACGCTTCACGCTCCGAGTTCAAGGCCAGAGGAACTTCGCCGCACGCAAGATCAACCATATCCTCGGCAGTTTCAAGATCAGTGCGCAGCAGTGGCAGGCATTCTCAACCACCGACGCCATGGGAGTGCAGTGCGAATGCTATGTGTCCGCCGACAAGAGCCCTGCCCAAGTCAAGCGAGAGATCCTCGCCAAGCAGATCAAACGTGTTCTTTCCTCGCTGTATCCACAGCATCATTTCCACATTAACAAGGCCAAGGGCGAGGTATCGCTCCAATGGAAACCTCTCGTCCGTGGTGTTCCGCGTGCTGGCGATGAGCTCCTGCAGATCGAGTACGCTGCCGAGAACCTGGCAGCCTTCCATCTCGTCAAGGCGGACATCGCAGAGGCCCTGGCCGAGATCCTCAGGCCGCCGGAGCCCGTTGCGTGGCAGGTTTAACCCGCTCTTCGCGGGGTGGAGCAGCTCCTTCTCGGGCCCTACTTCTCTGGTGGTGGGGACCTGGAATGCACAATCGCTGTTTCACTACAGGCCGCAGGTTAGAACCAGGAAGATCAAATACATCAGGTCCCTGTTGGGGTCAGGCTCGATTTGGGGGATCCAGGAGTCCCACGGCACCGAGGCTGAAATCAGAGATCTGCTGTACCATCTACATCGTCCTGTCCAGGCTTTCTTCTCGCTCCACCCTCCGTCTCCGCATCCTGCTGGCGGGGTGATCACCTTCCTCCCCGACTTTAAGAAGACGCACGGCTGCCAGCGACAGCCGACGTTAGTGCCGATCGAGTTAGTCCCCGCTCGTGCTCTGAATGTTCGAGTTTTGTTTCCAGGAGGTGTCTGGATTCCCCATTCCAGCATTCACAACCATGGGCTCAGTACTTCTCAGAGGCAGAAGATCCTAGAGGCTATCTCCCAGGACATCCTAGAGGCGTCCAAGGACCCCACCAGAGGCTTCGCGTTCGTAGGTGGCGACTAACAACTTCTCTGATGAGGCCCCCAGAGTGCTGCACGACCTCTCTCCGTGTTCCCCTTCGGCCCCCAGCCGCACTCCCTCTCGTTCTGGAGGGCCCTGGAGAACCGCATTGGGACAGCTCGTTGAGATCGACGTTTCCGACCCCGCCCACTTCTGTGCAGCACAGGGGGCTCTTGGGAAGCTGGATCGGATTTTTGCGTCAGCACCTGGATGGTGCATTACCCAGATGTGTACAGGTGCCCGCGTCCACGGCTACCCTGAGGTGTTTGCTAGGACGCGCATCTCCGACCACGCCGCCATCAGCGCCACGTTCTCTGCCCGAGTGGCGGCCAAGCCGCGCGAGCAGAAGATGCATCAGGATATCTTTAAAAGGCCAGAGTATTCCAGGTTCATCGCCAAGGTGTTACAAGAAGTCGACGACTCTGATTTATCGCCCCCTCTTCGAGTTGAATTTCATAAAAACCTGATGCGCGAGGCCGCAAGATTTGCCCGTAACGCTATTCTAAGAGGAAAACATATCGACCCTCTCGCACGATACCTAGCATGTCGTACTATCGCTCGAGCCGTATGGAATCAAGATATCGTTTTTGGCCGAGAAGATTATGTACTCCCACCCCTTCGGCAAGCAGTTTTTGTCGATCGATGCGCGCGCGCACACGGTCACGGTGGCCGACCCAGTGAGTTTCAAGGCCGCCTCCGACGAGGCGCACCTCGCTATGTTCAAAGCCGCCAGAGCAGAGACCCGCAAAAAAAAAAAAAAAAAAAAAAAAAAAAAAAAAAAAAAAAAAAAAAAAAAAAAACAAAAAAAAATCTGGACGAGGACCTACCTGAAAAAGTCAGGGCCAAGATGGCCCGTCGGATGCGCAGTCTCCAGGTCCGTTGCAAACCTTGGTCTCCGTTCGACCGCAAGTTGCAGCTCCGTGGGCTAAGGCTTGGTCCCAATCATATTGTTTCTGACTCCTCCAGCATTCCTCGCGGGCTTGCTCGGCACTGGGGGCCGGTTTTTGCTAAGAAGGAGGTCGACAAGACCGCAGCGTTCGCGCGCGCAGAGAGGTTTAAGCCAGGGGATGATCTAAGTGGACTGCCGCCGCCAACGGAAAGAGACGTTTCCCGCTTCCTCGCCAGGGTCACCCCCAGTGCCCCTGGTCCCGACGAGCTACCCTATGGAGCATGGAAGCACCACCCCTCGGGCTCCAAGGTCCTCTCGGAGCTTCTGGATTGGGCGTTGGCAGGCAATCCCCCTCTCTTCGGCTTTAACATCTTGAAGGGGGCCTTCTTGGTCAAGGGCGACGAGCCCGAGGACTCAGAGGTTGTGATCCGTGTCCCGAGCGGAACCAGACCCCTGGGCTTGAAAAGCGCGGGCTGCAAGATTTTGACGTCGCTGTGTATCCGGCCGCTTACTTTCAAACTGCCATCTTTTATTCATGGGTCCCAGCGGGGCTTTATCCCTGCCCGCAACTTCGGGGGCAACATTATTGAGCTCGATACTCATGCTCGGGTCACATCCATGATGCCAGGAGTACGGACACGTATGCCTGCTCTACTGGCGTTCGACTACGGGCAGGCTTCCCCCTCGGTCTCACAGCGCTGGATCTTCCGGATGCTGCGCACGCTCAACCTGCCGCCGCCCCTGCACGCGTTCCTGGAAACGATTTACTCCGAAGTCTCGTGTTGGGGGCAGATCGGGTCCACCGTTATCTTTACGTTCATGATCGAATCAGGTATTATCCAGGGATGTCCCGCTAGTGGCGCTCTCTACGCTGTCGCTTCGCACGCTTTCGCCGCTCACTTCGAATGGTTGATAGAAAGACGCGGACACGGACTAGCTCGACTATGTGCTGACGATGTAGGTAGTGTAATTAAGCAGATCAAACACCTTAGATACTTACATACTGTCTTTCGGGCGTCGAAACGGGTGGCCAATCTAGTTCTGAAGCTCCCAAAGTGTAAACTTGTACCCCTAGCAGGCGAATGCGCACCCGAAGTTATTGCAGCTTACAAGACCTGGATTCAGGTCAATCTTCCAGAGTGGAGCGAGTTTCAGGTGGTGCCCAAGCTTTTGCACCTCGGGATCTTCCTGGGCCCTTCGGCCGCGCCGTCCCCCTGGGACGCCCCCGTCGCGAAATGGTCCCTGCGGGCCGGCCAAATCTCCCGAGCTGGCACGCCTTTCTCGATTGCTGCGGCGATGTACGACAACCGTGCTGTGTCCTGTTTGGGATATGTCGCCCAGTTCTTTCGGGCCCCAAAGTCTGTTCTTCCTCGCGAACGCGCCATCTTTGCGGCTCTGTTTAAAATGCCTCACTGCTCTCTTTCGCGACAAGCGTTCTTTTCTCTCGAAAGCTGGGGCGGCCCCAAGCTTCGAAGTATTTATGCTCTCGGTCTCGCGTCTCTAATTCGATCGGCAATCAGCACGTTCTCTGCTTGGCGCAGTTGCGTTGAGGTCCTCTCGGAGGCTGGAGTGCATCTCTCCCTGGGAGATATCGGGCGCCACAGAAGGAGCCCATCATTTTGGGCAGAGCCTCCGATCGCAGACACTCTCGCAGACGCGTACCGTGGTTTTGTTTCAGACCCGAAGCTTGCTCCGATCGGAGCCCGTGCAGTACAGGCCGCTCTTGATTACCAAGCTTCAGGTTCGAAGAAGCTCCAGCGAGCCGCTTATAATGTGATTGTTTCCTATGTGTTCCCTCCCTCCCTCGCCCCCTCCTTCGTGGCCCGCCTGCTCCACCTCCTCCCTCATGTGCCTCCCGTCCGCATCAGAGGTATCGACTGGACTGCTGTGCAGAACGATTCTTTACAGTGCCCGCCAGCGTGGCGGCAAGCTATAGTAAAAACACTTGCTGGTGCCCGGGCAACGGAGAGTCGGTTCCAACAGAGTCGCCAGTGTATGTTTAACTGTCCGAATTGTATCGACTCGCAAGCCCATTATCTCATATGTCCTAGATTTTGGGGCATCTCGGTTGAGTTTCAGGGCCACCCGTTACCCGACGACCCCATTGAAAGATTAGGTCTTGTGAACCCCTCCCCAAATTCGCTGTCCATCACTGTTGCCGCCTTTTACCTTTTCACTCTCGCCCATCCTTGTCCTCATCCTCTCTCGCCCGAGGCCGCCCGTGCTCTGATCCCACAGCTCCGCTCTTCCATTCGTCGTGCATTGCGCCCGCATGCGCCGACTACGTCGGCCACGGGCATACGTCCTGCCAGGCCGCCCCGCTCTCACAGCAGCAGCGGGAGTGGAAGTGGCAGCAGTAGCAGTAGTAGCAGTAGAAGCAGTCAAAGTGTAGGCGAGTAACTCGAACTTGTCCGATGGGCACGAACGCAGGAGGAGGAGGAGGAGGAGGAGGAGGAGGAGGAGGAGGAGGAGGAGGAGGAGGAGGAGGAAGAGGGAGGGGGGCGGAGGAGAGGCGGAGGAGGCAGAGGAGGCGGAGGGGAAAAAGGAGGAGGAAGGGAAGGAGGAGGACAGAGGAGGAGGAGGAGGATGAGGAGGAGGAGGAGGAGGGCGAGAAGGAGGAGGGGCACCTCTCACACATCGCCGCCCGACCTTTTCGCCGCACCCCCTGGCCTCCCCCCCATCGGGGCGCAACGCAGCCCCGGGCGACGCGCGCCGCGGGCACGGCGGGCGCCTCTCGGGCGCCCTTCGGCTCTCCCCCGATACAGACAACATAAGACTGCACACATTCGGGGGTGGCCAACAGGGCGGGTCCATGACTGGGGGAGGGTCGATATCATCTCCGGGGCCATAATATCTCTTCGGAGTTCATGCCCCCCTCTTCTTGTGGTTCCTCTTATTATTTTTCTGTTTATTGATGTTATTATTCGTATTCCAATTATCATGTGCTTGTTGTTGTTCTTATTCGCATTCGTATTGTCGTTATTCTAATTTTTTGTCGTTGTTATAAGTATTACTATGACCTATCTTGTTACTTCCCTTGTTACAATTCTTCTGTCGGTGCGTCCCTTGACCCTCGGCCCCCAACCCCCTGGGCCGCGCACGTGCCTCCGGTCATGATCTGCAGACCCCCCTCGGTGAGCGCCCCGCCATCTTCCCTGGGCCGCACCCGACAGACACGAGCTCTGGGGGCCTCAGGGCGCCAGAGACGGGGGGCACAGCGAACGGGGGCACGGGGAGCGCCGAGCTCCAGGTTCGGCTGTGCCCCCGTTTCGGGGGCCCTGGGCGCCGTGGACGGGGGAGGAGGGGGCGAAGAAGGAGGAGGAGGATGAGGAGGATGGAGGAGGAGGAGGAGGAGGAGGAGGAGGAGGAGGAGGAGGAGGAGGAGGAGGAGGAGGAGGAGGGATTGGAAGGCAGGGAGGGGAAGCCTCCCTGCCCCCTAGGCCCCCCGAAACCCCCCGAAGCCCCCAAGGGCTCCGCGCGGGCTCCCGGGATCGGCGGCGGCGCCCCCCCCCCCTTGGCGGCAGATGGACGGGCTCGTCCAGTCGGCCGAGCGGCGCGAGGTCGGTGCCGGCACCGTCATCGCGAAGCGCGGCGAGGCGGCCCTCGTCGGGAGGGGGGGAGGAGGGAGGAGGAGGAGGGAGGGAGGAGGAGGAGGAGGAGGAGGAGGAGGAGGAGGAGGGAGGAGGAGGAGAGGAGGGGGAGGAGGAGGAGGGGTAGAGGGGAGAGGAGGGGGAGGAGGAGGAGGAGGAGGAGGAGGAGGAGGAGGAGGAGGAGGAGGAGGAGGAGGAGGAGGAGGAGGAGGAGGAGGCAGGGCATGGTATGGGATTGTGCGTATGGACGAGGGGAGCGGTTATGAGTAGCGGGCGAGGTGGGGCGATGGACGAGGTGAGAGCATGAGGGAGAAATGGGGGAATGTTCATGTGAATGCGGAGTATGAGGGGGAGGGTTGATGCGAGGCAGGAGCGGAAACGGGCAGGAGGTGGATATGAAGATAACGAAGAGGAGGACATCAGGATAATGAGGGTGGACGACCGGGCGAAGCTTAGGATGGACCAACACGAGATCGGATGGGTATGAAGTTGATGATGTGGACGATGTGAAGGGGGTGTGGGGGTGGGAGGAAGAGGTTTTGGATACTTTCGGATCGGCCCCTAGAGCAAGTTGCGTCAGCGTCAGTCGGATAAGGCGAATGTGAGTATTCGGAAAATGTCGATTGGGAATTGGTGTTCAAAGTAGGGAAGATGGGAATTACATGGACGATCAGGATACACAGGGGGAGTATGAACAGTATGACGTGGAGGTTGGGACGGTGGAGGAGGGAACGATTATCATGAGGATCATCATCGCCGTGGGGTGCAGGAGTAAAAAGGGTGATTGCGCAGTGGGATGATAATGCAGGCGGGGGAGGAGGAGCAGGAATAGGCGACAGTATGAGGTTCAGAAAGGAGGAGGAGACAGAGGGAGTAGGGGGATGTTGACGCGATGCTGGAGATTGGTGTGGATATAGGCTTGCTGGTCATGGACGACGACGCATGTATTATGACGAGGTCGGTTTAGCAAGAGAAGGATAAAGGATTGGGAGGAGGGATAATCATGCGAGACAGACAGGAACATAGGGTCGTGGACGGGTAGACGGCACGAGAAGGAGGAAACCGATGGGGACGATTGCGGAACGATCGGGAGAAGCACGGAGGATGAGGTAGCGAAGGAGTCAGACGCGAATGAATGTCATCGGCAGGATGAGTTGGAGTAGGAGGGTGGGGCAGGAGGGGGAGGAAGAGGATGAGGAACGAGGGGGAGGAGGGGAACGACGTGAGAGGGGAACGAAGTGGCAGGAGGGAAGGGCAGGGGGAGCAGAAGGAGCAGGAGGGGCACGAGGATGGGGCAGGAGGAGCAGGAGGAGCGGGAACGGAACGAGGGAAGGGCAGGAGGGGCAGGAGGAGGGGAACGAAGTGAGAGGCGGGGCAGGGAGAGCAGACGGGCGAGGCGGGTGGGGAAAGGGGTTGAGAGGCGGGGGCGGAGGAGCAGAGGAGGGGATATCGGAGGGCGGGGGCGAGGAGACGGAGGGAGGACGACGGGGGGGGGTGGGCAGGAGGGAAGAGCGCGAGGCGGCCAACGAGCTCATCATCGTGTGTAGCGGCGAGGTCGAGGTCGTGCTCTCGGAGAACAACGAGAAGGCGACGTCCTCGACAGCATCGGTCTCCCCTCTTCCCTCCGCTCGTCACCCTCCCCAACTATTCCATCCCTTCCTCCTCCTCTTCCTCCTCCTCCTCCTCCTCTTCCTCCTCCTCCTCCTCCTCCTCCTCCTCCTCCTCCTCTGGCTCCTCCTCTCCCTCCTCCGCCCTCCTCTCCGCGACGGAGGGCCCCGGCCCGCCCCGCGCCGGCCTTCCCGGCCCCGCCCCCCGGGCGGACCGGGCGCGCGTTGCTCTGCTCTGCTCCGCGCGCCAGGGAGTTGGGAACCCCCAAACCGGGTGGTGAGATACCAGGTGGCGACCTGGAATCCCCAAAAAGGTCACCGCTGAGTTTGGGGACGCGGGGTCACCGCCGGGTTTTGTGACTCCTGGACCCACCAGTGTCCGGGACATCCTCGGAAAACCGCACGAGTCCCCAAACCGGGTGGTGACACCAAATCGCCCGAGACTCACCGCCAGGTGTTGTCACCACCACGTTTGGGGATTACCAAGCTCCGCGCGCCAGGGAGGGGGACCTGGCGCAGATGTCCAAGAAATTCTGCGCGGACCTTTCAAGAGTGGATGCTCATGCCGTCTGTTGTTCCTCTCTGCGGCGCGCCGCCGCCGCGGACGCGGAAGGCTGGCGGGGGAGCCGCGCAAGCGGTGGCGGCTCCGCTGTCGGAAGGAGCCGGAGGAAAAGCAGGGCGGAGAGGCGGCGGAGGTCAGAGCTCGCAGAAAAGGGAAGGGGTCTCGAGGGGAACGGTATTGCATTTTTCGCGCTGTTTTTGGCTCCCCGCTGCCCTCCAATCGGAAGCTGGGCGAGGGCAAATCCGTGGCTGCTAAAACGGTCTTCCCTGAAGGAGAAACGAATTCTTTACGCTTCGCGTATCCCCACCAGCCCATCTCAAAACAGCAACTCTTGCGAAGCATGCCGACAGTCGTGTTTTTTCAGGCGTGTTTCCGCCTGCCCCCGCATATCTCCCCTGTTCCTCCTTCCTCCCGCCTCCTTGTACATCCTCCTTGTGGTGGGAGCGGGAGAAGGACGAGGCGGAGGAGGAGGGAGAGAAAGCGCTCCTTGTTGTTTGAGTCGTTTGGGGTGTCTCGTCCTGGTGTGAGTCGTTCGGGCCCTTCTTCCTGGTGTGAGTCGTTCGGGCTCTTCGTGGTGTGAGTCGTTCGGGCTCTTCGTCCTGGTGTGAGTCGTTCGGGCTTCTCGTGGTGTGAGTTGTTCGGGCCCCTCATCCTGGTGTGAGTCGTTCGGGCCCCTCCTCCTGGTGTGACTCGTTCGGGCTCCTCGTGGTGTGAGTCGTTCGGGGCCCGCGTCGTGGTGTGAGTCGTTCGGGCTCCTCGTGGTGTGAGTCGTTCGGGCGCCTCGTCCTGGTGTGAGTCGTTCGGGCCCCTCCTTCTGGTGTGAGTCGTTCGGGCTCTTCGTGGTGTGAGTCGTTCGGGCCCCTCGTCCTGGTGTGAGTCGTTCGGGCTCCTCGTGGCGTGAGGCGTTCGGGCACCTCGTCCCCTTTTGGGGCGTCTTGGGGGCCTCTTGGCGGCCCCAGGGGCTTCTAGGAGCGTCTTGGGTGCCTTGGGGGAGCCTCTTCGGGCCTCTTGGGAGCCTCTTGGAGGCCGTTTGGGGCGTCTTGGGGGCCTCTTGGCGGCCCCAGGGGCTTCCAGGAGCGTCTTGGGTGCCTCGGGGGAGCCTCTTGGGGCCTCTTGGGGGCCTCTTGGGGGCATCTTGGGGGCCTCTTGGAGGCCTCTTGGGGGCCTCCTGGGGGCCTCTTGGGGCCATCTTGGGGCCTCTTGGTGCCTCCTGGGCGCTTCTTGGGGCCATCTTGGAGGAAATCGATCAAAGAAGAGGGGAGCTTTAATTAGCGCTGCCCCCTCAGAATGGCAAAATGGGGCCAAAACCTTCGTAAAATCAATGATTTTGGCTTGAAAGAAGAGGGGGGCTTTAATTAGCGCTGCCCCCTCAGAAGGCCAACATGGGGCCAAAACCGTGGTAAAATCAATGATGTTGGCTTCAAAGAAGAGGGGAGCATTCTTTCTCCCTCCCCCCGTCGGGGCCAGAATCCTCGTGAGGGGTGTCGTTTTTTAGCCCTCCCAGGAGTCGAAAACGACTCCTCTGACCACCCGCGAGGCGCCCTCTCCAGGCCCAGGGGGAGGGGGTAGGGGGAGGGGTAAACCCCTCCCCGAAGGGGAAGAAGGGGGGTTGAGGACAGAGAGAGCTCTCTAAACCACTCACGCCCAAAGGGCTGGTGGGATTCCCGGAATACATATCAGCGCGCCAAATAGTAAACGGGCTGCTTCCCGAAGAAAACAACAACAATTTCCCGGAGCTCCGTCTTAGCAGCCACGGGTTTGCCAGCCTGGGCCTGGCTTCTGATTCAATGGCCCCAGGGCTTTCAGAAAACGGCCCAAGGTGCAGAACTCTGGCCCACGACCCGCTCCCTTCAGGACCTGGCTTTCCTTGTGCTTAACAGAGCGAGACGACATCATTTTGGGGCTCAGGGGCGCGGAGTCGGCGCCGCTCCAACGCGTGGGCTTGGTAGTTTTCGCTGTGCGTATACTTGTGGATCCGCCCGCCTTGTTTGGGCCCACGCGAGCCTCCTTGCGGGACGGGGGGGAGCTCTATTGGAGCAGGTTCGCGCCGCGTCGACGCCGCGCTGTATCCCAGCGCGGCCGAGCCGGTTCGCCGCGCTGTATCCCAGCACGGCCGAGCCGATTGGATTCCGACCCCCTGCTGGTGCGATCCGTTTCGACACAAATTTCGGTACGTTATGATTTTTCGATTTGAGGCTGGCTGATGCAGCACGCAAGTGCAGAGTAGAACTAAGGCAAGTTTTCGCTGGGAAGAGGTCTGACATTCAAGCGAATCAACACTAGGAGGACAGCAGACAGGCAGGCCTTAGCGCAGCCTGGTGCTTCCAAGGGGGCTGGTGGATGCCAGGAAGCGTCTTCGAGGAACGGTAAGCGTGGGCCGTTGAGTTTAGATAGTTTTGACATTCAGTGCAGCAACCGATTCCAGTTTGGCGATCCACATTATCATGTTCAATGCAATTTGGGATGTGGATGAGAGTCTGAATCTAAATCGTAGCTGAGTCGTTGCAGGAGGGCCTCATACCAACCCAAAGGAGTCCCAAAAGGCTCCCACGAGGACCCCCAAGTAAGTAACTGACCCTCAGCATGGCCCAAATGTCAAAGCGGTTCTCTAGACGTCGCGGGAAGCCGGCAGCATACCCTCGAAATTGTACAATCACGCAGCACTTGATTCACAGCTTACGCATCACAAAATACACAGTGCGTAGCATACACATTTTTACGCAACTTACGCAGCGAATGAACTACACAAACGCAAGCACACACACACACACTCCTCACGCACGCACGCAGCACTAAACAAACTACGCACACACACGAATGGAAGCACACACACAGAGACATACAAACACACACTCACACACACGCGCAGTCGCACGCACGTACGCACGCACGCACGCGCACACAAAAACACACACACACACACGAACACACACACACACACGAAAACACGCACGACGCACGCACGCACACACGCACACACATTCACACACTCGCACGCTCATACACACACACACATACACACACACGCGCACGCACGCACGCACGCACGCACGCACGCACGCACGCACGCACGCACGCACGCACGCACGCACGCACGCACGCACACACACACACACACACACACCACACACACACCACACACACACACACACACACACACACACACACACACACACACACGCACGCACGCACGCACGCACGCACGCACGCACGCACGCACGCACGCACGCACGCACGCACGCACGCACACGCACGCACGCACGCGCACGCACGCACGCACGCACGCACGCACGCACGCACGCACGCACGCACGCACGCACGCACGCACGCACGCACACACACACACACACACACACACACACACACACACACAAACACACACACACACACACACACACACGCGCACGTACACACACACACACACACTCGCACACTCACTCGCTCACACACACACGCACACGCACACACATGTTTTGTCCGTCGCGGCGCGGCAGAGGCAATCCGCTCACCCGAGTAGCAACACTGGGCTGCAATGTCGCGAATTGGCCCGCATGCAAGAGGGGAAGATCAGGGGAGAGGGGATGCCCAGGCTGAAGGGCAGCCCCTGGCAGCGGCGCGGGGCGGCATCGCGGTGCACCCAGGGGCGGGGACCAGCAGCCGCAGTGCGGGCGAGGCCCAGCAGGCGGGGGGGGGCGGGAGCAGCAGGCGGCCAGCGCGCTGGGGGCGCCCAGGCGTGGGTGAGGCAGCGGCGGGGGCGCGCTGCAGCGGGTAAAACAGCGCGGCGCGGCCGGCGATGAGGCGGCCCCGGGAGGCAGGCTTTGGGCGTAGCAAGGCGGGCGGTGTAGAGGCGCGGCGCCCCTGGGCAGCCAGGCGGCGCAGGCCGCACAGGGGCGAGGTGGCGAGGACAGGACGGACGGCGAGAAGCGAACGCCATCCCGAGGCCGGCGCACCCATCACAGCCGGGGATGTAGGCGGTGCCCATTGCAAGTGTCGCGCGGGCAAGGGCCCCCACACGGGGGAGGCAAAGCAGGGGGGCGAGCGGCTAACTGTCGGCAGGGGCGGCCACACACACATATATATATATATGTATATATATATATATATATATATATACATATACATATACAAGACTGCAGTGGCGCTTCGCGCCATGCACCTTGGTCCTTGAAGATTGCTACGCCGGTGGAAAAGGCAGGAAGGTCAAGCGGACACTTTAGCGATAACTCCTTGCTGCCTTTTCTGGCATTGCCATTATGATAATGTTGTTCGTTATCCTGGTTCCATGCTTATTTTTCTTCATTCTCGCCATACCCTTGGCATTCTCCCCGTCCTCTTCAGCTCTTTTTGCGGAGGGTCTTCCTTGGAGAGGCTTTGGGGG